GGGAAACCTTGAAAAGCTAGAAAGAATTGGGTAGAAAGGATTGATGGTTGGTCTGTGGAGGTGGATGTTTGGGTCAGAGATTAGAAAAAGGTACCCAGGATCTCTGCCCTCTGTGGTCCCCACCACTTAAGCCAGAGCACAGCTAGACCTTGCCCCATCTCCTGGGACATATCCTTACCACTTCCTTCCTAACACTGACCATTTTCTGTGCCCCAGGTTTTGTCAGGCCTGCCCTCTAACATTTGCAGGGCAGAGTTGAGAGTACACATGGAGACCCATGTACCATATGTCTAAATATTTGAAAGTTACAAGTAAAGCTAACAAATTGTGATGTTGTAATACCATGTCTGGGATTTAGAATTCTTTTTTTTTTTTTTTTTGAGGCAGGGTCTTGCTCAGTTGCCCTGGGTAGAGTGCAGTGGTGTCATCATAGCTCACTGCAGTCTTAAACTTTGGAGCTCAAGTGATCCTCCTGCCTCAGCCTCCCGAGTAGCTGGGACTACAGGTACATGCCATGACGCCTGGCTAATTTTTCTATTTTTAGTAGAGACGGGGTCTTGCTCTTGTTTATGCTGGTCTCGAACTCCTGAGCTCAAGTAAATCTGCTGCCTCGGCCTCCCAGAGTGCTAGGATTACAGGTGTGAGCCACCTCGCCTGGCCTGAATTTAGAATTCTTGATTGAACCCTTTGGGATTCGTACCTGAGCCTGGCAATTCAGGGAGACCTAGTCAGGGCCCGCCTCCTTTTCATTTCTCACCTTTGGCTCCATCCCTCACTTTGAGGAGCCTCATGAAGATGTATGTCCATCACTCAAGCCTTTCCACATCCCCACAGATAACTATCCCCTTGGGCTTCGTGAGTCCATACAACAGCAGCACAGCCTTCCCTCCAGAGGAGTGTGCAGGCCTTGAAAAGTGGGTCTGGGTTTGTTTAGACAAGGAGCTCTAGGTGGGCGTTTCTCCTCCATACTGCAGGTTTCTCACCCAGAGCAGCCACATACACTTGCTAAGTCTCTTCTTTACAGATCAGAAAACTGATCCTCACACGCCATGGTTTCTGGCTGCCCCTCCCTGGCATCATACAGAATGTGCTCCAGTTTGACCTTGAATCTTCGTCTAGAATGGGTTCACAAATGGCAATGTTTGAGTACTTGTATCTGGAGAGGTTACTAGATCTTGTAAAGGGCTTTACAGTTTGCAAAGTCCTTTTATGTACATTGTCCCTATTCCCAGGTGATGAGAGAAGAGACTGGTAGAGCCAAACCTGAAAGACTTTTCTTATTACTAGTCAAGTGCTGATCTCATCACAGTACCAACCATAGGTACTCAACAAATGCTTCCTGCTCAGTGTGTTAGAGGCTTCTGGCAGAGGCCTGAGGGAACCCACAACTGTCGTGTCTCTGCCAGGTTAGTGGCAGAGCTAGCAGTCATCAGCAGATCTCTGAACCATTTTTCCTCACTCTTGCTATCTCTGTCCACCATCCAGGCTTGACTGACTCCCTCTAGCCAAAGCAGGTGGCTTCTTTCTGAGCCAAAACTTGATAACTTTGAGCTGAACCACCCAGGAGAGAATCTCCTGATGCTCACACAGCAGCCCCATAAACTTCTTGGATACCTATGAATAGACAAGGAATTAACCCTTGAATGGCTTGTCATCCAGGTAGGAGAGGGACTGTCGAAACTGTGAGGAATGGGGCACCCAAGAAGACCAATGTGCATTGAGCATTTCTGCTGCACGTGGACAGTGTGTTAGGTGTTTTCAGAGGTAACCTCCTTTATGTCCCTCAGTGCTTAGTATTAGGTTGGTGCAAAAGTAATTGCGGTTTCAGCATTATTAAAATTTGCCATTTGATATTGGAATACATTCTTAAATAAATATGGTTATGTCATACCTCATTTTAATGTGCATTTCTCGCTTTATGTTTTTTTGCTAATGACTTACTACTTGCCGTTTATATTTATTTTAGACTATGGAAATGATGATTAAACAAAAAACAAATTCAGGCAGTTTTCTTATTTGAGTTCAAAGTGGGTCATAAAGCAGCAAAGACAACACACAACATCAACAATGCTTTTGGCCCCAGAACTGCTAATGAACACTGCATGTATAGTGCAGTGGTGGTTCAAGAAGTTTTGCAAAGGAGACGAGTGCCTTGAAGATGAGGAGCGCAGTGGCCAGCCATCGGAAGCTGACAGTGACAAATTGAGAGCAATCATTGAAGCTGATCCTCTTAAACTACACAAGAAGTTGCTGAAGAACTCAACGTTGACCATTCTAAGGTCATTTGGCATTTGAAGCAAATTGGAAAGGTGAAAAAGCTCGGTAAGTGGGTGCCTCATGAGCTGACTGAAAATAAAAAAAAAATCGTCATTTTGAAGTGTCATCTTCTTGTATACAAAAATAAATCATTTCTTGATCGGATAGTGATGTGTGAGAAAAAGTGGATTTTATACGACAACTGGCAATGACTAGCTCAGTGGTTGGACCGAGAAGAAGCTCCAATGCACTTCCCAGAGCCAAACTTGCACCAAAAACTGGTCATGGTGACTGTTTGGTGGTCTGCTGCTGGTCTGATCCACTACAGCTTTCTGAATCCCAGCAAAACCATTACATCTGAGAAGTATGCTCAGCAAATCTATGAGATGCACCAAAAACTACAATGCCTATAGCCAGCATTGGTCAACAGAAAGGGCCAACAACACCTGACCGCACATCACACAACCAAGGCTTCAAAAGTTGAATGAATTGGGCTATGAAGTTTTGCATCATCCACCGTATTCACCTGACCTCTTGCCAACTGACTACCACTTCTTCAAGCGTCTTGACAACTTTTTGCAGGGAAAATGCTTCCACAACCAGCAGGATGCAGAAAATGCTTCCCAAGAGTTCCACAAATCCCGAAGCACAGATTTTTACACTACAGGAATAAACAAACTTATTTCTCATTGGCAAAAATTTGTTGGTTGTAATGGTTCCTATTTTGGCTAATAAAGATATGTTTGAGCCTATTTATAAAGATTTAAAATTCACGGTCTGAAACTGCAATTACTTTTGCACCAATCTAATAAATGATTGGATGCAAAGATAAACTGAGTAACAAGAATCTGTCCCTTTCAAGTCAGTTCCGTAGCTAGCACCAGCTCCTTCATCATTAGGAGTGATGGCACCCTCTCAGCCCTCTTCCTTTGTCTAGGATAGTGTACTCCTGACCCCAGTTTGTCCCATGGGCTTACTGCAAGCCCAGACCCAGGAGCAGTATCTTCCCCAGAATCACATTCTCAGGGGCAGCCTATGAGTTCCTGGTAAACAGTGCCATCTGCTGGTCAGAATGTACCAACTTCCAGGCTGGGAGGATCTAGGAGAAAAGGGTCTCTTACCTTTTAGTGGGACAAAGGGTACAGATTTCTCTTATCCATTTCACTAAAAAGAAGCCCCTTCTGCCCAAAAATATTAGTAAATAGGCTGGCAGGCTGATGAGAGGTTTTATACATGCTGTTTGGGGCCTTTAGCACCTTCTGAAACGGACCTAAGGTAGGTTTTTGAGGTAGGAGGATCCTAAAAGGGAGTTGCACCAACCCATGCCAATGAGCAGAAGACTGGGCCAGAAAGTATAAATACCAAGGCTTAACTTTAGGCCTTTTCTACTGAAATTGAGCCGCCTCTCCTCATTCACCTTGAAGCCTGTGCCCAAGTATAACCTGTCCAGGAATGGAGTAGGAAAAATATGTACTGCTTTTTTTTTTTTTTTGGAAACAGAGTCTTGCTCTGTTGCTCGGGCTAGAGTGCCGTGGCGTCAGCCTAGCTCACAGCAACCTCAAACTCCTGGGCTTAAGCAATCCTTCTGCCTCAGCCTCCTGAGTAGCTGGGACTACAGGCATGCACCACCATGCCTGGCCAATTTTTTCTATATGTTTTTAGTTGTCCAGCTAATTTCTTTCTATTTTTAGTAGAGATGGGGTCTTGCTCTTGCTCTTGCTCAGGCTGGTCTCAAACTCCTGACCTTTAGTGATCCTCCCGCCTCGGCCTCCCAGAGTGCTAGGATTACAGGTGTGAGCCACCATGCCCGGCCCCATACTGCTCTTTGGAGTAAAAGACATTACCAGAGCATAGAGAGCAAAGAGTAGGTGTAGTCTCTCATCTCTAAGCCAAACAGAACAAAATTTGAGTAGGTATAGAAATGGGTAACTCTTAAAAAATTTATTTATTGAAAACAATTCTCAGATAAATATACTGACTTACTATAGTATTTAAGTTGGTTTTAGCTCCAGGAAACAGTGATAAAGTTGGAAGAAATTGGCTTTAGGGACAGACTGACCTATGTTTGAATGTCCAGTGTTGGCAAGTTAATGAACTTAGTTTCTGGTAAAATATGACAATATTAACACTCAGTTGTGGGGTCTTGAGATTATCCAATATTGTATGCCACTCCAAGCTTACACCACTCTGAGACTTAGCATACCTTTTCCAAAATGGCTGGTACCAATAAACACATAGTAGCTAAGTCCATGTCTGGATCAGACTGAGCAATTTTCATAATATGGTATTGTTCTAAAGTAAGCATTACTTGCAATTACCATGGGACCTCTTTGCTATGGTTCTGTATTGGAGGAACAGTAGAAAAGCTGTAGATCTTCACATTTAGATCCTGAATGGGGTAATATTTGATCTGAGCATTGAAGAAGGAGTGGACTCAAAAGAATCGAAGTCAAACAGTCCAGGGTTCAAATCCTAGCACTGCCATTCGCTAGCATTGTGACCTCTCTGAATGTTAGATTCTTCCCTTATGAAGTGTTGTGCTCTGCTTACCACGTGAATACCAACAGAATAAGTAACAACTGTTAGTAATATAACAAACAAGATGCAGAAACAGGAAGGCTGGATGCTATAGGGGTGTAAGCTTGTAGGATGGCAAGAAGCACCTAGTTAGCCAGAATGTGGGCCTTGGGCAGCCCTTGAGCCCAGCCCATGGTCCCAGCTTTACAGAGGCTCTCTCTCTTCAGGTGGCCACCATGTCCTTGAAGATCCAGACAAGCAATGTAACCAATAAGAATGACCCCAAATCCATCAACTCTCGCGTCTTCATCGGAAATCTCAACACAGCTGTGGTGAAGAAGTCAGATGTGGAGACCATATTCTCCAAGTATGGCCGTGTGGCCGGCTGTTCTGTGCACAAGGGCTATGCCTTTGTCCAGTACGCCAACGAGCGCCATGCCCGGGCAGCTGTGCTGGGAGAGAATGGGCGGGTGCTGGCCGGGCAGACCCTGGGTAAGCCTCACCACAGTATTCTCCTAGTGTTCCCCAGGGTAGCTGCTATCCTTCCTTCATGCTCCAGTTCCCCTCTTAGCCCCCTCCTCTCTTTCTCCCACCACTACCACTGCTCTGAGATTTTGTAAATTAAATAAGCTGTATTTGTTATAAATCAAGTCATAAAATTGATGCCTAGAGGGGAGTATTTTAGAAGCTCCTAGAAAACAGTTCTGTCCTGTCCCTGCCTTCTTGGTGTTTCTTAATGACAGGCTTTAGGGCTCCAGTTAAAATGCAGATTCCCCTGAGAAAGGGAACAGAGTGGACTAGAATAGCCTTTTATATTGGGCTACAGATGACTTAGAACACTTTCTGAGAGCTAGGAGGAGGGGTCTATCCTGGTATGCCTTGGAGTGTGTGCATTGTTCATGTGTGTGCATGTAATTCTGTGTATATGTGTATGTTTGAGAAGGGATATCTATATATGTATTTCTGAATAAGAATGTGACTGAACATGTGGAGATATGTGAACACATACCTGTATGTGTGTGTATGTGTCAGAATATACTGGCATGTGTAAACAGATATACACATACTCATTTACTAAATATTTATTGAGATCCTAACATGTACTAAGCACCGTTCTAGGCATTGAGATGTTTAGTAGAATGTCCGTGTGAATGTGCGTTGGCTTGTTTGCATATGGCCAGTTATGTATATGATGTTGGAGCCAAGTCTGAGTGTACTTGAGAGTACATATGTTATCTGTGTATGTGACTTTCTTATGTGGACATGTGAATTTGTGTGTGAGGCTGGATCTGTGTATATGTTCTTGTGTACCTGATACATGTGATTACATGAATGTACTTGAGAATGCATATATGTATGTTGTACATGATTGTGTATGTAAGTGATACCATTGTGAGCATGCATGGATGTGTCTGTATATGGACACACAAACAGGCATGTCCATGTGATAGCTGGGTATGAGTCTAATGTATGAAGACTTTTGTTGGCTACATCAGTGAATAAAGTCCATGTTTCCATCATTGCTCACGTGAATTGCATGTGTACATGAGGGGGATGTGTTTGTTTGCTGTCATCGCAGCATTCTGACTCTGCCTCTTCCCTTCACACAGACATCAACATGGCTGGAGAGCCCAAGCCCAACAGACCCAAGGGGCTAAAGAGAGCAGCATCTGCCATATACAGGTGGGGCACTCTGTCTGGGTGGGATGGTCCCTCTTCCCACAGAGGGAGTAAACGCTAATGTGATGGTGTGCTGAGCCTAGAATTTGGGGAGGCCTTTGGAGATGAGGGCCTATGGAGAGTGGGCTGAGTGGCCGTCCCTAAGCTCTGGCCCTCTCCCCTTTGTTTCCCCAGTGGCTACAGCTTTGGCTATGATTACTACCGGGACGACTTCTACGACAGGTGAGCAGGGGAGGGGCGTGCCCAGGCGTGAAACAGCCAAGCTGGAAGGGTTCTGAGAGATTGTTGGTGCAGCCCCCTCAGTTCTCCAAATGCGAATCAAATCCCAGAGGTGTGGACAGGCATTTGCCCAAGGTTGCTTCACAAGTCAGTGGCAGAGCTGGGTGTAGGGTTCAGTTCTGCAGGTGCCCAGGCCTGAGCTCCCATCGACCATACCACGCTGACACTCTGGCTGCCCTTTTCCTCCTAGTCTGGGGTAAGACTCAAGGAGATGATACAGTCAATGGCTATATAAACGTAGCCAGTTGGAATACACAACAGGGTACGGCACTGGTTATAGGGAGTCTGAGCCTCATACTTCTCCTTTCAGTTTCCTTCTTTGTGTGAAGTGCCAACCAGCGGGAAGGAACTCCAGAGCTCAGACTGAGCCCCTTGGCCTTATATTTATAGCCACGAGGCCAGAAGCTATTTGGAGGCCTGACTAGTCTGGTGGGCTGTGGGCTCCCACTCCGCCATACTCTTAAGTGGAAGTCATAGTGGGGACCAGCCCAGACCTCGCCTCCTCCCTGCTTCCCTCCCTACCTCCAGCTCAGCACACCCCCAGGGGCCCAGGTAGAAGGACCTCTCTGAGCCTTGTTTTTCTCACCTAAGAATGGTTTCAGGAGATAGTGTGGTATACTGGAAAGTGCCCTAACCTGCGAGTCAGAAGATTTAGGTGCTAATCTCAGCTCTGCCACTGGATTGATTATGTGACTTTAGGCAAATCCCCTTCCAAGTTTGTGAAATGTGCTTGCACCAAGTGATCTCTCAGGGTTCCTCCAGCTCTGGGATTCTGTGGTTCAGTGATTCTGACCAAGGCCAGAGCCGCCCCCTCCCCTTGGGGGCAGAAATGCAGGGTCTGGGATTGGATCCTTGCCCAGAGACTCTCCATCTCCAGCCATCACCACCCCCAGGGCAAGGCTCCCTGAACAAGGGAGTACCAAAGAATGGGGCACTGAACTGCCTGCCCAGTGATGGCAGCTTTCCTGGCTGTCATCAGGAAAGTGGTCCCAGTGTGTACCCAATAAGGCTGTGGGTCCCTGCAGAAAGATGGTAGGAACAGATGGTGGGGAGACCCCTTCTCAGCCTACTGTGTTTCTGCCTGGTCAGCAGGAAAAGACCCCCCAAATCCCTGGAGAGGACTGAGTGACGGCTGTGGGAAGGAGCACACAGTCTGGGAGCCCTGGGGTCCGATTTGATTGAACTGTACAGCCTTGAGCATCCCACACTGGGCTCCTGGCCTTTGTCTCTGAAGTGGGGCAGGAAGGGTGGGGTGATTAAGGAGGCCCAGAGCAAGGAAAGGGCTCAGCATCTAGCCTCACATCTCTGAGGCTATGGGCTCATGCATTGAGAGTCTCAGTACCCTAACCTTTCACCTAATCACATCTTTTAAAGTGTATTTTTAGCTGCATTCTTTCATGCTCTACCCTCACAGAAGACTTGGGTAGACACTGAATTTGGGTAGCCATCCTTATTAAGCATGTGGGGAAACTGAGGCTCAGGGGTTGACCCTCACTCTCATACCTCTCTATTTCCAGCTGGGGATTTGTGCTACTTTGAGACTTCTGAACTCTGACCAGAGGTTGGGGTGGCAGTTGACTGGGCAGAAGCCAGGTCATGGAATAGAGCTGGCCTGGGTGTCAGAGTGACTAGGAAAGGCACCTTTGTGGGGCTGGTCTCACTTTGTTCCTCTGTTGAATGGCATGTAATCACTACCACCTACTGCCTCATCTGCCCTTACCTCACCTAGCTGGTGGGAGAGGTGGATGTAGTGAGGACTCCAAGAGCAGTCAGGGTCCACAAAGCCCTGCTTCTCACCCCAGGGCTTGTTGGGGGCCGGCCAAGGTGTGTAGTCCTGGCCTCCCAGCCACAGTGCTCCCTGGTGGCCACAGGCCATGCTGTAGCCTCTGGCGCATTTGCCCTACAGGCTCTTCGACTATCGGGGCCGCCTGTCGCCTGTGCCATTGCCCAGGGTGGTCCCTGTGAAGCGACCCCGGGTCACAGTCCCTTTGGTCCGGCGTGTCAAAACTACCATACCTGTCAAGCTCTTTGCCCGCTCCACAGCCGTCACCACCAGCTCAGCCAAGATCAAGTGTGAGTGACTATATCTTCTTCCTAGATAATTTGTATTCGTATCATTAGCAAAATAATAGAATCACATTTTTTTACATTGGAAAATAGATAAAGGAACAAATCTCCCACAGCTCTGCAGCTCTAACACAACCAAGTGAGTATTTTCATCCATTTCTAAGAGGAAAAGGCTGACATTTGAGGAGGAGGGGTGCGGGTTGGGCACAGAAAGATTAGTGCTGTGACATGGTGCCCAGATAGGAGATGGCATCTATCCTCTCTAGTAAGGACAAGGACAGGTCTACACAGGCCCACTATTCCACATTCACTCCAGTGTACACACACCACAGTCAAGCACCCAGGAAATCTGATTGCAAAAGACCTACATTTGTATACCTTGAAAGACAGGCCCCATCCCATAACACAGGCAGACACATGTTCTTGCTCAGGTGCACACAGAAGAGCACACTGTACACCTGCATTCCTGTCCATCCTCAGTCCCTTTCGGGATTGAGAGCTCTGGGGAAAAGAGCCGGATTCAGAAGTGTGGGCTGGTCACTGTAGGGATGGCCTCCAGGAAGTCTCAGGAGGAGGCCTTTTCCCTGACCAGGGAAAGAACCAAAAAGGAACTCCATTCCTAGTTGACAGAATAGGGCTGAGGTTTTGTGTGTCAAGCCTTCAGCCCCTAGGTGACAGCCCTGTCCCCCCCTTCCACTCCCAGTAAAGAGCAGTGAGCTGCAGGCTATCAAGACAGAGCTGACGCAGATCAAGTCCAACGTTGATGCCTTGCTGGGCCGCTTGGAGCAGATTGCTGAGGAGCAAAAAGCCAATCCAGGTCAGCCTCTGAGGGTCCTCACCCAGCTCCGTGGCCCAGGCATAGGGCAGAGGGTGGGAGGATAGTACACAGGGGAGAGGGGCTGGGGTGGCCCTGCAGATCCCAGCCCACCTGGAGGGCCAGCTTTTCCTAAAGTGCCCCAAGCTGAGTTTTATTTCCTCCTGATCCACCCCTTCCTCCTCAAGATGGCAAGAAGAAGAGTGACAGCAGCGCTGGCAGCAGCAGTGGTGGTGGCGGTGGCAATAGTGGCAGCAGCAGCCGGCCACCAGCCCCCAAAGAGGACACGCCTTCCGGGGTAGGCACGCCCCAAGGAGAAGCACAGGCTCGAGATGATGGTGATGAAGAGGGATTGCTGGCACATAGCGAGGAAGAGCTGGTGAGGGCCTGGCCAGGGGCACGGCAGGGTGGGCTGGGACTGGACTTTGCACTCCTTGTCTCAGGAGGGCAATAGGGCAGGGAGAACCTCTGAGCTGGTTGGCTCCCCTGTGAGCTCTGTCCTCCCAGGGCTTCTAGTCCTGTAGAGAAGAGGGAAGAAAGAGCAGGGGGCAGTTGCCTATTTCAGATACCAGTCAGAAGCCCAACTAAGGACTGGGGCAGACCCAAGTCCAGGGCTCATTCTGGCCTCCATTCTCCACATGGGTTGGAGAAAGGGGAGAATTGGACACAAGGGAGCACATGGCCTGCAGAGTTCCAGAGAGCAGGACTGGGGTTGCCTGGGGAAATCATGGGGAAGTGGGTGTTAACCTCCACAGAAGATTTGCTAAGAGCCGTTGTTGCTCGAGCACGAAGCAGCTATGTCATGAGGGAGTGAGCTCCCTGCCTCTAAGTGGAATTATTCAGGCTGAGGCTGGGAGGCCATTTGACAGGGAGCTTTTGTTGAGAAGGAGGGTAGACCAGACTCTGAGTCTATAAAATACCTGTTGTTTACTTGCTACTCGCTTACTTAAAGAATGTTCGTTGAGCACCAGGCCCTGCAGTCCATACGTTCTAACTTCATTTAACCTTAACAACAGCCCTGTACCATGCACAGTATTATGGTTCCCACGTTTCAGCCCACAAGGAAACTGAGGCTCACAGGGATTGAGTAGCTTGCTAAGGGCCTCGTAGTTAATAAGGTCTGAGCCAGGATTGTAGCCCAGACTTCTTTACTGGGTTTGGAATGTTCTCCTTTTCATCACTGCTGGGTTCCAGCATGAGAAGAGATGGGCTCATGGCCATGACAGTCAAGGGGTCTTCCTCATGCCCAGCTCACATCTCCTGCTTTGAACCTAGCCTGATACTTCATCTTACTCTCTTGAGCATAGTAGTCTCCATAAAAGCCCTAACCCTTTCACCAATCTATAAAGCTCTCAGCTGCCCCAATACAAATTCTTTCTATGCACAGAAATGTGCCCCCTGCCACTTACAGAACTCCTTGACTTCTCCTATGGGGGGCCCTCAGACCACTCTCTCAAGATCCTATCCCACCCTTGTTGTCTGGTCCCATAGGCATTGCCATTGGCTGTCCCTCCCCATTTCTGACTGTGTCCTCTGGGTGTGCTCTGGGCCCCGGGGTCTTTCTAGACAAATGGCCCAGGACAGAATTTGGAGCTTGCAGTGAGTGATGTGTGGTCTCTTGCCTTCTCCCTATCAGGAGCACAGCCAGGACACAGATGCAGAGGATGGGGCCTTGCAGTAAGCAGGTATGGGGTCCTGGGGGGCAGGGGTAGAGAAGCAGGAAGTAGAGGCCATGCCTCTTCCCTGGGTTGGGCAGGAAGTATCATGAAGCAGACCTAGCAAGGTAGCGCTGTGCCCAGGAATGAAGCCCTTTCCATGTCCAGCCATCCTGCCACACCTTTGTGGCGGAGACTTGGCAGGCTGAGAAAACAGGTGTGATGGATAGACTGGCCAGGCCTGCCCAGCAATGGCTCCTTCAGCACACTCTGAGCCACGTGACCTGTCTCCACCCTTGAGGAGCTCTTTGGTGGAGGAAGACACAAACTGTTAACTACCCAACGTGAGCAGGATGACAGCAGACAGGAGGCCAGGTGGTAAAAGAGATTGTGTGTAGCTGAGCCTGCTCTTGGTTGAGGGAGCAGCCTTAGCACAGGCACAGAGCTGTGACAGTCCCTGGTATGCGGTGAGGCCACGAGCCTCCTGTTGCTGCAGCCCCAGCTCTCCTTGGCAGGGAGAGGATGCACTCATCATCAGAGGGTGATGATTGTGAAGGGCATTACATGCCAGGCTTAGGGGCTTAGACTTCATCATTTTGTGGGGAGGAAATACCCTGTGTGGCAGGAGCTGCACCTGCTTTTTTTGATTTCACCTTCAACCCTACAAGGTTATGATTGTGCCAGCATAACAGATGTGGAAACTGAGGAACTGAAGGGTGTGGGGAGATACCACATGTCTCACAAGATCCCAAGGGAGTAATTGGTAGAGCCTAGATTTGATGGCGTGTGGCCTGAAAGCGCATTCTCTGGCCACGGTTTGCCACACTACTCTGCTCTACCCTGGAGGGAAGCCAGGCCACACCTAGCCCTGCCTACTCTCTGACCTGTTCCCTTGGGGCCATGTTCACAGTCAGACAGGCTGGGGTGGAGGAAGATCTCAAACACCGGTGTGCTCCCAGGGAGGTGTCTTCATATGGGACACATTCATGCTGTAAAATGCCCCACCAACAGGAGCTTCTAGAACAGTTAAGTTTAGAAAATTCTGCATAAGTAGTCTCTCTTGGAACTTCATGGCTTTACTTGACAGGCTAAGTTTTCCCTTGTTAAGCTAGTTCACAGGTGAGTCACAGAGGCTCTTGTGAGGAAGTGGAGGTTCAGGAAGGAGGTGAGACTTGCCTAAGTTCACATGACCAGAGGATTATGAGGCCAGAGCTAGAGTGTAGGTAAAGCTCTGTCTGCAGGCATCACCCCACCCTTTCCTCTTCCCTACCCCTGATATCAGGAGCACCAGGGGCTTTTCCTCTCAGCCTTAGTGTCCTGTGCCTCTCTCTTTCTCAGCCTGACAGGAGCAATGGCCACCAGCAGGAGAAGGGCATCGCCGTCCCAGGCCTCAAGCTGGGCACCCGCCCTGGATGCCACCCCCCAGCGGGTACCAGAGGAGAGCGGGCAGCAGGCACCTCCTCCCCCATGCATCCCAGACAATGTCACATCCTCTGCAGGTGGAGTTTCCAGCCTACCCTTTCCCTGTGCACCCTCCCTTTGTGCACTGTCCAGGCCAGAGGGCAGAGCACAAGTGTCTCCCCACACTCTGCCTCCCTTCCCCCCAGGACACTCCTAGGCTTGGGGTTTTTCTATAGATTTGGAGGGGGGCCCACAGGGAGGGACCCTGACAATAAAGAGATTGGATCCCAACCTGCTCTGAGACGGGATGGTTTGTGTTTCCTCACGAAGGTATCCTGGCCCTTCTGCTCTCCAGAAAGCTGGTCTGCTGTACCCCTTCTGTTCTCATCTCCTTCACTCCTCCCTACCAGGGAACATTGTCTAGGGTGCTTAATACTGATCCACTTGGGCCTTAGTTTCCTCAGCTAAAATCGTGATAAAAATGGCCAGTAGAGCTGTTGGGGGAGGGTCGGATATGCTGGTGCCCATGAGCACCTTGCTGGCTGAAACGTCAAGCAGGTGTGACCCACTTGGTCACTCAGTAGTTAAGTCGAGGCCTCATCTCTTTCCTTAGCTTCTCACTAAGTCAGCTCTTAAAATGATTCTAGAATCCACTACTTCTTCCTCTTTCTCTATACTGGTTTAGGACACTGTGGTTTTTTTCACTTTGTCCTCTTACCAGCCTCTCAGTCTCCAGCTTCTCCCCTACATCATTTCCCAGCAGCCACTGCCCACCACTGAAATGTCCCTTCCTTGTGTAAAAACTCTTTACTAAATGACTCCTGATCATCAGAACAAATCCCACCTCCTGAGTATGAGGTCCGAGATCCTGCTTGCTCTGGCCTCTCCTGTCTCCTGCCTGCACCCTTCTTTGCTGCCCACACGCAGACCCTGCACCTCAGTCTCACAAAACATACAAGTTCTTCACTCCGGGCAGTTTGGGGAGCAAGGAAAGATCCCACCTCCAGCAGTGGGAAGTTTGTGTCAGGATTCATGTGGACTGTCTGCCCCTCTCTTAGGCCACTTGTCTAGACATTTGCCGGCACTCAAACAACTGGCCAGGTTCGTTCTAACTTCCACTTCTTCACAGCTCAACATGGCCCATGATGTCCTCCTAACTCACCCCCTTCCCTTTTATTCCCCACAATGAATTGATAAGTTTTCCCCACATTCAGGTTCCCAAGAGAGAATCAACTGCCACAGCAGATTTTTTTTGAGTCACTCATAGGTTACAAGTTCCCATCCTGGTCCAGTGAACTGGGACATAAAATGTGGCCACAAAGGCTGGTCTCATTGGTGTGGGGCTGTGGGACGGCAGCACCCAGAAACATACTTTGTTCTAAGGCCAGCACACACTCCTCTGCTCCCCTTGCTACTCTCTCCACCTGGCAAATACTTGCTCAGCATGAAGCTGCTGCTCTAGTGTCAGCACCTCTGAGAAGTCTCCCAGAGCAGCTGACTGCTCTTCAGTACCTGCTCGTCCCCTCCTGGGCAGGCATTCCCCAGCACACAGAATTCAACTCCATCATCAGAAAGGGTTTGGGTTCTTTCCCTCCATCTTTACATGTCCCTCAGTTTGCAGCCCTGCTGTAATCCTTATTGAACATCTCGTCTCAGGCCACCAGTTCTATATCATAGCCTTCACCAAAGCTTCCTCCTCGGCTTTGGCTCAAGGTTGAAGTGGAGGTTGCAGGCTGAGCTTGGGACAGTGCTCAGGCTCCCCAGGGAAGTCTTTGTTGTCTCTTGTCTCCCTCACTGGGCAGCCCTCCTGCCCGCTGTCATTGGCAGGCCAGCAGTCTGAAGCCCTAGTGCGGCTCTGGGCTCAGGCAGTCCTGAGTTCTGCGGGCAGGGGCATCACTAGGCCAGCTCTGAGGCAGCCAGAGTTCAGGCTTCACACCTGAGCCAAAGGCCCCAATCCCTGCTTGGCATTGCCTCTTGGTGTGATTTGGAGGAGTATTTCTGCCCCTTCTTAGTGTTAGCTGCCCAGTGGGATCATAGTCCCCATGTGTCTGCCAAGGGACCCTGGCAACAGCAATGGAGCAGGTAGGGGTTTGTGAAGAACCTCATGGCCGAAGCTGAGGCCTTCAGGCTGAGAGATCCAGGCGTGGGGTTAGAAATGGGCCCTTGGAAACTGGGCCGGGTCCTGGCCCAGCCAGCTTAGCCAAATCAAAAGGCTTCCATCTGGAGAGATGAAGAAGGTGTACAGTGGAAGGGGGTAGGTCCATTGGAACACACTCCTCCACTCCCAGAAGACCAGAGCCAGCTCTAGCAGACCCACTTGTAAACTGGGTAGGTAACAGCTGTTCTTGGATCTTGATATCTCCATCCGTACAACATGGGGAACAGCTGCCCTGGACTGGAACGTGGGCCAAATCCAAAGATTTGGAGTCTAGTGAACCCTACGCTGAAGGCATATAGCACCAGGCATTGTGTCCCTGTATCTCCAGAGCCTGGTGTCAACTGAGACACTCACTTTTCAGAGTTTAGGGGGCAGGTAAACCAGTGACCGTGGGCTTCCTTAGTATGCCAAGCTTGGGAGGGCCATGAGAAGAGCAGGAGAGACACCTTTAAGAACAGGAGGTATCTGTCCTTACCCACTTCTGCCCATAAGGCCCTGCTTAATCACCCTGGCACCGGGACATGTGCTGGGCAGAGGGAGAATGGGAGTCCCATCCTTGCACCCCAGAGAAGACCCTGGACTACTTGAATTCTTCGGAACACTCACAATTGTGTCCCCGAGTGGAAAATTGGCATCCAAAGCCCTGTGTACACATGCCCTCCTTCTCTGAGCCTGGGTGCAACAGACATCTCCCATTCTGCTGGTCAACAGTTGTCATATTTGTCTAACCTGTGAAAACTCTGAAAGGAGATGGTGAAGAAATGATACCAGATTCTACCCAAACGGCCAATTGTCTCTAAATGTTTTCACGATTTAAAGCCTCATTTGTGATCCTTACAGCCATCTTGAAGGAATATAGCAGCCAGTGGGTTTATTGGATCGTGAGCTAAGAGGCCTGGGCCTCTTTATTGCTGCCAACCAGGCTGGTGACCCTAGGCATGTCTGTTTCCTTGCTAGATCTTAAGTTTCCTCAGCTGTAAAATGAGAGATTGGTCTAGATCAGGGATAACAAATGGGCCTTGTATCAGTTACTGACTGTTGTATGACAAACCACCCCCAAATTTAGTAGCTTTAATAAACATTTATGAATGCCAGATTCTGTGACGTGGCAATTTGGGCTGTGCTCAGCTTGGTGGTTCTTATCTCATCTGGGCTCATGTGGCTGGAATGAGCTGGGGGCTGGCTGGTCTCAAAGGGCCTCATCCACATGTCAAGTGGTTGGCTGGGCAATAGGAGCAACTGGGCTGCAGGGTCTCAGCATCTAGCAGGCTGACCCATATTGTTCACATCACAACTGGGTTCCAAGAGCAACAAGAAAGGACCATCCCCAATACACAAGTGCTTTTCAAGATCCTGCTTGTGTCATGCTTGTAAGGTTCCATTGGCCAACACAAGTCACAAGGCTAAGCCGAAATTCCTCCTAATAGGAGGAACTTCAAAATATGGCCATAATTTGTTTTTAATCTACCTCAGGCCTCATTTCACTTGCCAACACAGAACATTTAGTGGCTGCCTGGAGTAGTCCTTGTTAAGGATTTGGAGCAATTTTTAGACGACTTGGAAATACTAACATGATAATTTCATAATGTCTCTTATGGGCAAGGAATTTAAATGTGAGTATGTGTCAGGTATTTGCCAATCCCAGCCAGATGACCCATGAGCTCACATCCTGTCCCATAAGGACATTATATGTAGTGCACCTGTCTGACAAGACCACAGAAATACAGAAGGCAGAGCAAGGCAAAAGATTCTGAGCCGGACATCCTGGGTCTGAATCCCAGTCAGATCATTGGTTCACTGGGGCTTTGGGCAAATCAGAATCCCTCTACCTGTGGCCAAATTCTTCATAATAAATTGATTCATAATAATAAACCACTTCCTGTACACCTGCTGTTAAAAGGCACGTTTGACACTTGAAACTCCGCAACCAACCCTTAGTGGACAGTGAGGATTTTGGTTTCAAGTTATAGAAACTGAAATAAGACCTGCTTTAGCAGGAGGAAGTTTACTAGCTGGTGAATTGTTAAGTCCAGGGGCAGCTCTTCAGACACGGGGATTTGGTTTAACAGCTGCCATCAGGAATCTGATGATTCTCAGGCAGGCTCTAAGTGGTGGTAGAGCATGGCCATAGGGCCTGTGAGGGTGGAGGGGGAGAGGAGAGAACCCTAAGGAAGACAAGGCTTGGCTGACAAAAACAACAGGCGTTCATTGTATGCTTATGCCCATTGTGTAAATTTTATAGATGGGAGGTTTTAAAGCATGGCCCCATGGAGAGGTGGTGTCTATCCTCTCCCCTTTACCTGAACTCTGTGACTGATCAACAGAATATGGTGGTAGTGATGCTATGCCAGTCTCACAGTCTAGGACTTAAGAACTAGCAGCTTCTACTTCTTGTTTCTTGGGACCCAGCCACCATGCTGTGAAGCAGCCCAGGCCACATGGAGAGGCCACGTGTACATGTTCAGCTGACAGCAGTATCAACCCTCAGACATATGAGTGAGGAAGCCTTCGAGACGACTCCAGCCACTCAACCACCCAGCCACCGTCTGACTGAGAACTGAGTAAGAACCGCCTCACTAACCCCAGTCAAAGCCCAGCACCACGAAGGATGATAATAAACTGATCACTGTTTTAAGTCCCTAAGTTTTGGAGTGATTTGTTGTGATCGGTAGATAGAACATGAGACCAAAAGAGGCTAAGTAGCTTGCTCCACTTTAGGGGGCTGAGTTAAGAGTATGGAATTTGTGTTGAACTGAGCTCCTATCCAAACTATTTATTGTGTGAACTTAGGCAAGTCACTTAACCTCTCTGAGCCTCATCTTCCTCATCTGAAAAACAGAAAAAAGAGCACATCCTTATTATGACAATAAATGAGAGCATTTGCTGTTACCTCATCCAATCCCCATTCAGGTGATTTTTCTCTTAAAAGGTAACAGACCATAATTTCCTCTCCTCTTTTTTTTCCTTACTTATTCATACCCACCATGTTCCAGAAAACATTTCAGGCATCTTACAAAGAGAAAATGAATAAAATATTATTATAGAAAAATTAGGTAAAGGAAGATAATGGCAAGACCTTTTTTTGGCTGTTCCAACATCTTTTGAGTTCTTGTAGTGAAGATTGGCGTGTCGG